ACTACAAACAAGTCTCTTAAATGAACAAACTTCATAAATACACATGCTCGCTATAGGTGAGGCACATCAAGTCCAGATAATTGATCTGTCCATGAGCCTCAGAGAAGGCAGTCTGGGGACTCAATCTGCAGAAGAAATTAAGCAGTTGAAAAAAGTTACATTGCAATGTGAGAGCCACAGTTTAAAAACTACCCATTCCTTGAATGCAGCTGTATTCACTATCGCTCCACAAAATATTATGGGCCAGATGAAATACTATTTTTTACAGATCAGATCAGATGAGATATGATGAAAAGACAATGGAAACGGGGAAAAGCAGCAGGAAGGTCCTGCAAAAGGCAGCAAAACAATCCTCTACTTAAAGAAAGTACGAGGAACGGGTCTGCAAAAGCAGTGGATTGAACCTTTCAACTAAGAGGTTTTATGGAGGAAGAGATTTTATCTCCAGGCACAGGTTAACCTTGTATAATCCTAACCCTTGCTTTAAACAAACTGACCTCAAGTTACCCATGAAGTTCAGAAGAATTTTGTACTAGAACCTTGGTGGTAATTTTGCAGTAAGCCAGACAAACCATTTGGAAGAGAGAGCTTTCCAGTGAACAGGATGATTTCACTTTGAAAAACTTCCTAATTGTTGATTCATCAGATCTCCAAAGCAGCCCAGCCTGGAAATCCTAAACTTGCTTCAGCTGAACTTGGCATGGACCTTTCAATAGTTTGTTGGCAAAATTATTTAAATAAAAGTTCTTTGTCTATCTTTCCCTTTTTCCAAAGGTTCAAAATTGCGTCAAGTAAAAACATAGCCCGTACCCCCCAGAGAGCATAAACTAAACTGAACTTCAAAATACATTTGCAAGGACGAAGACACGCTGTTGTAAGAACACATTTCTTCAATGACCACAGACCCAGCACGAGCACCAAGCACAGCTATGTTGCAGCTGAGAGCCTGTCTGCTCTGGAACCAGAAGTAACAGAGCATCAGCAACGGGCCAAATCCAAGGTGACCAGCTCTGCTGGGCAGCAGCACCCTCTTCCACACCCACACGAGCGTCTCTGCATGGTGTTACGTACTTCTCTGCAGTTGCACCAACACAGCTGAGGCTCGCTCCTATGTTTCCACCACGCTCCCCTGCAGAGGCACAAATGTATTTTCTGCTGCTCTTCTGTGATGCCAATCTGGTAGTCGCAACCTCTTATTTTCCTACAGATCCTTGTAGAAATCAACTTTTAGGCAGGATTTGAACGTTGAGGGGACTTTGTAAGCTGGGTAAGAGCAGTGTCTATATCCTATGTCTATTGGAACAATAAGGGAGGACAATTAAAACCAAGTGAGGCAGCGGTGGACATGGATTGAGAGCAAAGGATGCAGGGTGATGGGAGCAAGAGTGACCTCAAGAACAATAAAAAATGGTGAAGAGATGCCCACCTCAAACGTACAGATTCAAACGTGTGGCAGCCAGGGGAACAAGCAGAAGGAACTAAGGCTCCTTGTGTGTTACTACAGCACTTTTGGAATAACGGCTATGGTGGGAGAGCTCGCATGTGGTGGGAGCACTGTGATGGATGCAGACAAGCTCCTCAGGAAAGACCGGGAAGGAGAAAGGGAAGACAGGGGGTTCTTTCCATGAAGGAGCAGCTTGAACATTTGCGATGGACAGCAGCAAGGGTGACAAGCATGTGTCAGTGTATTACAGACTAGCCCACAAGGGTGATGAGGACAGTCAAGCACTGGAACAGGTTGTCCAGAGAGGTTGTGCAGTCTCCATCCTTGGAGATTAATTTCGAGGCCTGACTAGAGAAAGCCCTGAGGAACCTAGTCTAATTTCACAGCTGATCCTGCTTGAGGAGGAGGCTGGACTAGGTCCAGAATTATAATGTGATCCAAAGCCTAAAGGACAGAATCCCAGACAGGAACTGTAGTTTTGAAATTGAGGCAGAGGAATAGAGCATCTGCTACCAGCCAAGAAGTCTCAGTTTTGTGACTGTGTCTTAGCCATGAGCATCACACACAGATGCTCACCCAGCAGCTAACTGTAGACCAAGGCTGCAGATTCCCAGGAAGCTGTGGAGCAATGATGGAGCAGTGGCAGTTGTAGCAGAACCCATCCCTGAAACTGTTGTGAGCATCAAACATTCAGGGGAAAAAAAAATCCCTGGCAAAAAATGTTAACTTGAAGTTAATGTCCCAAAGAGCATTTTCTCAGGGCAAAGAACTTTTAAAAGTTTTCAGTTTCCCTAACCAGTTCAGAGCCAGGGAATGTGAGACTGCATTAAAGTATTCCCAGCGAGGGGAAGGGGCAGAGGGGCAAAAATGTGTTTAATGCACTGATGTTCCTTACATGTGGCCTCCCCAACAGTCCTACCCCAGAATACAGCATATCAGCGCCAAGTTTGAGACTAACTAAAACTTACTGCCTCACTCTTGCCGAGACATTGTTTACATGGGTTTGGACCATATGAACAGGCTCTCAAATCCAGACTGTGACCATAGTCCTTTCTTGACAAACACCCAACCCTTGTTTTCACTGACAAAACCATATTGATTGTTTCTAACCATCCTCAACGTGATAAGGCTGCTGCCCTCAGGAAATTTTCATCACACCATCTCTCTTGATTTGCTAAATATGTTCCCTCAAGTCTTGGTCCTCCTCTTCTCTGTCTGGTTCTCTTCCCACAGGTGGCTTCAGTTCCACCAGTGTCAGGCAGCTCTGCTCCCACACAGAGCTCATGCTCTGGGGAAGCCTATAGTTGGTTCTTCACCTCCAGCTAGCCGCAGCCTCTGTGAAAGCTGCCACTTGGGCTTATTGCTATCATCGAGAGCTGCTCCTCGAAACCTCTAGCCCCTCAAAAACTCTGCCCCTGACCTCCAGCTCCCTGGACTTGCAGACATCTGAAACACCCACCTGTGCATTTCCATTGCTACAACACTGCTTTTGGCTTCTTTTCTTTTTCTTCTCTGAAATTGGCCTGCAGCCATGACAAGGGTTCAGAACTATTCCCAAAAGAGACAGGCAGTCTAAACAGAAAAGGGATGCTGAAAGGCTCTGCGTGTGCAGTAACCGTGTTCTGCCCTGCCTTTTAAGGAATACTAAGCAGCTTGAACGCCTATACACATTCACAAAAGAAGCACGTGCTTCAGTGTGGCTCAACTGCATAAGCAAATTACAAAGTTTATTGGTATTTGACTACCAGTGTCCTGTGTCTAGGTGTCAAAATTCTTATAAAAACTTTTCTATGTATGTCAGAGTGAACCACATGGAATACAATGCAAGGAGGTATACACTGCCACAGCTCTGCTGTATGCTTTAGTCCCTGATAAGCAATTTTCTTATTACTGCACTGCAGGATTACCCATTTTGTTTAGCTTGAAAATAATACACAAGTAGTCGAGTCCCGCCCTAATCTTCAAAAAGCTTCAAAGTCTATTGCTGGGGATACAGCAGAGAATGTACCTCTAGGTTCTTCTGTAAAGATTAAGGTAGCAAGAGACTCCTTACAGCATCAGTGCCAAGCTTGCTATCAAAGGCTTTGGGTTAGCACCAGTAACAAGTCACAATAAACTTTGCATCCGCCTCTAAAAAGAAGTTCACCCACTAGCACCGGGATTTAGGTAGAAAACTAAATTTGAAATCCAAGGCTTAATGCTGAAGAAGTTAGTATGAGAATTAATTCCTGTGACCAAGATAATGACTATGCGAGTCATTATTTGAGAAAACATTCCTGAATCAGAAATGGACACATGAATACTACCCTAAACTCCAAATAAACTAATATGGAATTGATCTGTAAGAGCATCTTCCTGCCACTCAAGGTCCAACCCCTTACTCTGCCAACTGCTGGAAAGTACTTTTCCTTGCTCAGTTTTTACAAGTACTTTGCAAGTACACATTACTGCCCACAGTACTTCCAACCAACAATCCCTCAGAGAGAAGAGAAAACATGCTTTTTAACTGTTCAGGCTACACTATTAGAAAGTCTACGCAGAAACATACACCACTGCAACATTAAAGAATCTAAAAATATTGAAAATGGAAGAGAAATCATAATCAATGTTACATGTCTATGATAACCTCTGAATTACAGTAATTTCTTGTACAGAACTTCTGTTAAGAATACAGACAACAGTCTGTAGAGTTGTTATCACTGTTGCCATTTAGTTTTAATGCACGAGTGGCTCTCAAACTGGACAGTTAGAATACTCACAAATGTGCCTGGAAAATCTACCTGACATTTGCTTGCCCTCCATTCCCCTTTTTGACTTCCTTCCTTCCCTCCCCTCTCCCCCCTCCTCTCTTGTGGCAGACTGACAGAGAACTCAGTGCTTTAAGTCAGTGAGGAGCACTGACTCTCGCTGGCCCAACTGATCGGGACAGTCACTGTTCTGCTGAATAGCTGAAAAACAGGGCAAGACTGGGAACAGGACTCCAGCATGATACATGATTCTGTATGGATCTCAGCAAGGGAGAGATCGCTCAGCAAGGGATAGTGAGAGGAAGCCTTTGGTGTTGACTAGTGGGCAGCAAGTCGGGGGGGGGAGAAGGGCATGCAAAAGCCCCTGCCTGAACCTGAAATACAGGTTTAAAGTGAAGTTGAAGGCAAAATGAGAAACATGAGAGTATATACAAGTGTGGGTGGGAACCAGTTTTATGGGTACAGAAAACAAAAGAGAGTTGACTGAAGAAATATTCGATCAGGTGGTAAACACAAAAGCAAAACCACTTTTCCAACACAAAACAGTTGCACTAACCTTGGAGAGCAATGCTTTATGAGCCTGCAAGCCCTACTATCGAATTCCATTCTTTTTATTTTGTCTTGGCACTATCTACATGAATGGAAAACAACTGCAAAAATAGATACATGCACTTTGGTTTTACTGGCTTCCAGAACACGATTGGAATGGAAGCATTGGTTCTAACATTCATCTTCTTTTAAACTGTGGTTTCACTGAAAGGTGGTTGTTTCTTGAGCTTTTCCTTAGCCTATCATTTGTATGTTAGTCAACAGAGTTCCCAAAGGCTCTTTCCCATGCTGCTCCTGTCAGTCTTTTTTTTTTTTAAAGAGTGCCCAGCTGAAGGCTACTTCCAAAATGTATCTGTAAAACTTGCATTTGAATGCTCTTCATTCATAAAACAGATGGAAAAGTGAAGAGTAAGGAGAAAAATGTACAGAAAGAAAGCAGACCTGTACAAAAAGCATCACAATGGAAAAGAGAGGTCATTTGACTCTCCATTTCACCATACCAGAAATATTAAAAGTAATGTTCTTCAGACTGTGTGCCACGTTCAATTCCTAAAACAGAATATCAGCTACTGTGCTTCTGTCCTGAAAGTCACTTTCCCACTGCTTTTTGTAGATTGCTTGCATTATTTAACTTTAAAGAGTCCAAAAGGCTTCTGATTGTTTCACTTCCTATTCCTTTCATCCTGTTCTTCATCTTGCTGGGATTACTTTTTCCAAATGGTATCAGCAGGGCTGCGAGTCCCCAAGGCTCTTTATTGATCACTCGCTGAGTTTTATCTTCCTTCTGTAAAATCCAGGCACTTTCTCTGGCCATAGCTACAAATTTCTCCAGCTGTGGCTGATTAACATTCTTGCTGATATTAAGGTCTTGTTCAAAGGGATTCCAGATATAAAGAGGAGACGACTCAGGCTTATTTACTTCCTTTCCCTGCAGACAGTGTAAAGAAAAAGCCAAAGTTGCATATATGTATTACAGGCTGAGCAAGTAACAAATCACTAGAGTTATTACATTAGCATTAAAAGTATTTTGACCTAGTAGAGAACTTCTTGCAAAAATAAAAGTCATTATTAATCAAGTTAATTTTCCTGTCGGCCTAACTGTTCTCTGAATCCTCTTAGCGGTGGTTTTCCTTGCCACATTCAGCTTAGATTTCCTCCAAGGCAAAGAACACACAACTACAGCTTAGCCTGTCTTTTTGGCCATTCTCCCATTTGCTTCTTCACAAACCTCAGACCTCACTCATTACAACCTCCTCCTCCTATCTCCATTTGTGTATGGGCACCATGAGTGTGTCTTATTAACCTGCACAGCCCAGTTTGATAAACTACTACAAGCACTTAAACCGTTCAAACCATTCCTCTCACAGTGCTCATTGAGAGCTAGTATAACAAAACAAGATTACTGCCTTGGCTGAAATTCCTCCCAGTTCAGTCTGTCTTTTAAGTAACAACTATTCAGGCCATGATCCACTTTTGGGCACTTGGTATAGCATAGCACAACACAGGCTGTTGACAGCTGTGTAGTTTGCTATTTAAATGCACTTCCATCTCAGTGCGTATCAGTGCTCCTTAGCTGACCCACTCTGTATTGCAGAACCTCTGCAAACCTCCCACCGCAAGCTCTAGCAGGAGCGCACCAGCTAATGCCAGCCCAGGAAGTGTCCACGTACACGCTACATACTCTTGACCCCCAGGGCCAAAAGGGCTGACGAGTTAAACAGAAAAACAGCAGCAGCACAGACATTTCCCTTGACTAGTTCAGGCTCCAACCTGTGTACATTTTTGTTTGCCTTTTTTTTAAGGCTTAACGGAAAATAAAAGTTCTCCACCTTAATGAATTACTTTCTAGGATCAACCTGCAGCAGCAAAAAGAGCTCTTATGCCGGTAATCCACAGTGCCCAAGCAGGAAGCAGAACACAGATAAGAGTGTCCACACAGCAACACGGCACTGAAACCCCCATCCTGTAACAGCCCAGCAGGAACAGGTGCGAGCTAAGGTAGTTACATTTACATATATTTCCATTATACTTGCGCACACACACACACGTGCGTTATCAATAAATAGCATGACTTACACAAGAAGTAAACCAAAGTGATAGCGCAGACCTCCTGGCAAGCACAGAATGATCATGTTATCTGCCAGGCTTACTGAGTTGTAAGTACGCTTACTGTAGGCTGATACAAACTGCAGTGGAAAACTCAAGTGCCAACAGCAAGTTCAGAACTCAGTTGTAAGTTTTAATGCAGACACTGTTTGAGTCTGGACTCCCAACTTTAAATGCACAGCTTGTTGGCGTACAGGGTTTGTCGTAGACTTTTGCTATGACAGACATCATGACATTTTAGAAGTTTTCCTCTCACAGAAGGAAAATAGCTTTGACTTTTTAAAACTGCCGCTTTTATTATAGGGTTTTCAAGAAAAATCATACAGGCTTAGCATTAGAGTTTGTGCTTTCCAACATCTCCAAGTAACGCCACTGTTAATGTTCTTAATAGTGCTGTAAGTGATTTGGCTCCAAGAGGAAAAATCTCTTCCTTCACAGAAAAGGGCTCAGTTTCTGGATACAACCAATTTAAGTGTACTTTGTATATACAACTAAAAAGGACAGAAATTGTTGTTTATCATATGTAGTTTTTCAAATGGCAGACAGAGAAATTCAACCGATAATGATGAGAGATTAAAATTCATTTACCTTCCGAAGATTTATGGAATTCCTTCTGAAATCAAAGTTTCCAAAATATTCAAAAAAGTCACCCAACAACACATCTAAGGGACAGAAAAACAATAGCCATCAGTAACATTAAGGAAAAGTTTATTTTCAATATGCTCATAAAAATTAAAAAAAAGAAGCTGATGAAGATTTACTTACCAAGTGTTTCTGTATTTTTTGTAGGTTTAATCTTGCTTAAATCACTAACAAATGAGCAATCATATCCTCCAATTACATGCTTGTCTCCTTCATCTGAAACAAAAATTGTGGGCATATATTGAAGTGAAAAACAATAAAATGCCATTGTATTTAACAAAACTGAGGTAACAGACATGACTGAATTCAATGAATGCTATCATATTATGTAAATCAAATTAGGAGTTCACGTGAACTTTCAGGTTAATATTCAACTTAAAAATGTCTATGGACAGGCAAAGGAAAAGAAGCATAAGTAAATGGCATATTTGCAAAAGCCTAGAAGAATAAAGTATATGACATTTTGCATCTCTGAAGTTAACTTCTTTTAAGTAACAAACTTGATATCTCTGCATACAGAGCTTTATTATAAACTAAACAGCACAAATCTCTGAGGTTAATACCTGTATGAGGGTTTAAAAAAAAAAAAAAAAAAAGAAAAAAAAATCAGACCCAAAGTGTCCACCTTCTTTTTCTGAAAAATGTAAGAGAATTAGGAATGTTCTTTTAAAACTTCAGGACAGGTGTTTTGTTTTATGTATAAAAATTCTATAGGATTCTGACAGAAATGTTTAAACTGATTTTTAAAGCAACTGCACACAGACCTTCTTCTCCACTCAAAGCCCTCAAACCTTCCAAGGAAGCAGAAGGCATGAGTGAGGGATCAAGAACTTGGGGTGTCATTCTTTATGCTTTCATTAGATTTACTGAAGATAATACACTCTGAAAGCTATGTATGAAACAGCCAGAACAGCTTGTTTGCGAAGATATAAGAATTATTTGCAGATGGCCTGAATAGTCTCAAGCATATTACAAACTGTGAGGAAAAAATACAGCCTTTCTTTTAAACATTTGGTACCTATAAAACAATACACATCACATCAATCTGCATAAAATCCTTAATAACTGCAGAGACATTTGAGACCCTATGAGTCTTCTACAACAAAAAAAAACCCCAAATAAACAAAAAACAGCCAGCATGGGAGCACTGAGCAAATGACTGACTTTTAAGTACGAGGCACAGAACAAGCCTAACTGCTCTAAATAGAATTTAGTGTTGCACTGAAAATCGATTTATTTTGCCTTTAAAAATGCATTATTTTCACCAAAAAAATACAAGTAAAACTTGTACAGTCCCTCAAACTTAAGGCACACATAATATGCATTGGTATCTGAGAGCATAAAGAAATTGCTTGGGTTTATTCTTCACTTCAGAGAAAACAAATGTGAAAGTCAATTCAATAAACACATAAACAGCTGCCCTTACCTGCCAGTTCTTTAAGTTGGTTTAGTGTTGGAATGATAGGTGGTGATCTCTTTTGCAGAAAAAACATGACCATCATGGTTAGAGAGAAGTTTGTAATCCAGGTACCAGGAACACTATTTGTCAGTCCATGGATACGGGCCCAACATCGTACACTGAACACTAGTGCTCTTACACGGGAATCAAGACAGCCATAGATATACAAGAGTTCTGAACTTTTTATAGCAATGCTAAAGAAGAAATTAAAAGCAAGAGACATGCAAATAATGTGAGAATTGTGAAGTACCAGATGAAATGTTCGTTGTTCAGTCCTAGAGCATCAGTTATATGGGAGGAAGGTATCCATAAAAAAAAGTTAACTTTTTTGCATCTAAAAAACCAGAAAAGAATGCCTGAGATTGTCCAGGGTTAAATACCTGGTAGTTTCCCATAGTAAGAAGGATACAGTTATGGGAAATAATAATACCACATATGCACTGTTTCCTGTTTCCTTGTTCCACATCACAGTGGGAGGAAAAAAACCCAAAAACCCACCATCAGGTACTCGAGAGTGAAACTATGCAGAATCAAGGTGAAAAACATAATGTAGCCACAACTGCCTTTGAGGTACGTTAGGTAATATCTCTATCCTAATATATAATAAAATACAACTAGAAGTTCTTTTACAACTTTAATCTAAAAAGTAGTAAAATAATGCACTGAAAAATACATGAAATGCAGAGACAATGAAATCCGCAAACAAGTCAGTTTGGTAACTTTCAAATGACCGATGTTTGGTTCTGCTGAAAACAGCTAATCTGGAAGGATAAAGGTTTACAGATGGATCAGTTTTTGATCTGCTTCATCATATGGTCATACAAACATCTGTGTAGTGTAGAAACGGGAGGGCAAGAAAAAGCAAGAAAAATGGAAGCGTGATGTGAGAGCAAAACTTACTTTGGGTTCAGTTTTAGTCTAAAGTGTTGCAGGAGTTTTTACTGCCAAGCTTGCACAGAATTCTTCTAAAAATCCACCATGACATTTTGGGGAAGTTTACCATGTCACAGTTTTGTAACACCCAGACTTCTAAAATTTCAAATGTGAAGTGCAGTGCCTCCTTGTATCCACAGAGGTTTGTTACTACTCCAAATGATAACAAGACAACACACAGAGTCCCAACCAGCCAAACCATCAGCAGAGAATTACAAGGAATTGCACAGAAGTGCATGCTGACTTTCACTGTGGCTGCGTACATTGAAGTCATTTTATTGTAAGACATTTGCTCAGTACTGCTTTAACATATTCTGAGACAGAACTTTGGGTAATTCAGAAAATTCAGTCTAGGATCTGATTGTATCTGATGTAGACGAATCACAAATTTGCACTAGAAGTCCTATCAAAAGTATTCTGAAAGATAAACAGTCATATTTTACCATTCCCTAACAACAATGAAAAGGGTTAGTAACTCATTTTTGATTATGTACCCTTATGCCAGAGCTACAGATGCATACTGGATAAAGGTTCATACTTCTTAATAAAATAAGTGACGGCAAAGCAAATTATATGCTTTACTATGAACCAAATGAGAGCAAGCTGGAAGAGGAAAAATAGATGCAAAGAGAGGTATTTCTAAGAAGCCTGCTCCCTCTATTGGGCACTGATGTGAAACGTCCTACATGACAGTAACACTTGAGACTCCGTTTTCTGATGCTGTGAGCTAATTTAGCATTCAAGATGCCTTGCCAGCGAACAGGTGTATGCAGGCCCTTAAGAAGAAAAAAAGGACATAAAAATAACTAGAAGCCTAATCAATGAAAATTAACACAATAGAGCTGCTTAATCTGAAAAGCAATCAGAAGAAGAAGTTGTAGAAGTCAAAAATACTCTTTTTACTTTCAGAGCCAACATTCACGTTTGTTAAGAACACAAAAAGGAATAGACTAAACAGTTTTCATTACAGGTTTTCAGAACAGAAGTACGTTAGTATTCTTCCTAAACTTTTTAAAACCAGGTCTCACCTGTTGCTCACTGACAGATCACATTGGAATCCTGTTGGTTGATGTGAAAATTTCACCAGTGGGCAGCGAGCATTGAGTATCTTCTGTACGCTCACACATCCAGGACCAAAATTATCAAGGCAATCACCAATTACTGAAAGAATTTTCTGAGTTGCTAATCTTTCAGATGGTAATCTTTTCATTTGATATTCCATTTCAAAGGGACCTTTTTTCTAACAAAGAATTTTAAAAGTAAACTGTTAGTTCTGGAACCAAAGAGACATTTAAGAATACTTCTGAAAGACTACAACAATTTGCAAAGGAGTTTGTACAATTAGAGGTTGAAAGACGAGAATTATTCAAAGCAGCCTGCAGAACTTAAAAAAGATAAAAACATATGGCTTTCTCTTTTATATTCTTTTTCAGTGATTCAATTTCTCCAGACTAATAGTGACCAACTTACCATAAAGTTACTCATTATGATCAGGGTATAATACTACTACATCTCACTACTGCCTAAAACAAGTAATTCTGGAATTCCTGAGAGAGCATATGTGCTCTAACTGAAGCATACAATTAAATTAAAGAGGGGCAAAATGCAACCAAACCACTGTTAATTTAAAAACACCAGTAAGTCCATTTCAAATCCTCAAAGAACAACGTGTTATTAGTGAGTCAAGTAGCACTGTAAAGTCTTTTTCATTCCTTAAAAATGAAGGTAAGCTTCTGTTAGTCTTAAAATAATCACATCAGATGCAGTTTTCCTGACAAATTTAAAAAAACATGGAGATGTATTCTGATGACATCAGACATGAATTTGTCTTTCTATTTTGAATTTTCACATTCATAGTTTATACCTCACTAAAATAACTTCATACCTATGTAATCTCTGTTCTCTTTATAGTCTCTCTCTGTTTTTAAGCCTCAGCTAATTTTGCTTGCTAACCCAATACTTGACAGCAACTTACCCTCCTCCTTGGAACATGTCATGGGTGAATGCATACTAAACAAACAGCATTACACAGTGACCTAACTAGTCCTCTGAGACACACACAGAGGAGGCTATTTTCATTGTCACCAGGTCAGTGCAAAGAAAACATGCACTCACAGACAGGTGAAACAGTTCAGAAGTTACAAACCTTGCCACCTTTCCCACAAACTCACTTTAGGTGCTGAATTTCTGAGTTGCTTAGGCAGCCACAGAGGTGACTGTTCCTGCTCTCCTCTTGCCAACAGTTCTCCAGCCAGCGCGTGTGTTTGAATATACCAGGACAGAGGTCCCTAATCTCATTTGGCTGTGTAGCTGCATGCTACAGCAGGGCTGGCTCAAAGTGAAAGGAGCTGGTAACTCAACACTGAGGTAGGTAACAAGAAAGAAAAAGATGGGGACTTGGCCGACATGTAGGTGTGCTGGTGTTCGGACCTGTACGTTTGTGACAAAAATCACAGTGTGCCTTCCCAGACAGCAGCTCAGTATCTTTCAGAAGCTGGACGAAGACACTCCTAATAATTATATATAACTTTGGTCCCAGCCAGGGGGGACGAAGTACCAATACACCTGCCCTAACCCAGTTGCGGTTCTCCCCTGTTCTTGCCATGTTGCTCAAAACAGCAATGTAGATAAAGTAAAACTATTACAGTACCCCCAGCAAGAAGCATAACTGTTTTAAGGCAAAAATTGTTACTCTAAAAACATCACAAAACTCTGGTTTAAGTCATTCACTAATCTCCCAAACCGCCTGCATGTTAAAAACACCGTATCTGTAGTCAAACACTGTACTGATCATCCACTCTTAGTAAAGGATGCTCCCACTTTTGCTGCTTTTCAAATTCACAATCAGCAATCAGCTTGCCATAAGACTCAAAAAGTGTTATTTAATATAAATAGGCACTGAAATGCCTGGTCCTCCTCTACTGCTGGTGCCTCCTGAAAGGCTGCAATACTACAGGAATCAGAAGATACCCTTTCCATTGCTGCTGTATCATCTTATAATTAAAGCTACCTCTCCTTGTCTTCACTTGTTCTAAGACAATCAACTTATGTATACTAGTAACAGTTTGAGAATATCATTATCCCTATAAATCACACTGCCAACTATAAGACTTTTTTCTTCCTCTGAAGTATTGTCTGTTGTCTATTACAGGAGATATATCCAACATCTTATTTTCCTACTGTATTTGGTTTACATGGCAAGGTTTTCGTAGTGGGATGCTGCAGGGGTGGCTTCTGTGATAAGACACCAGAAACTGCTCCTCATGTTGGACAGAGCCAGTTCCAGCTGGCTCCAAGACAGACCCGCTACTGGCCAAAACCAAGCCCATTGGCAATGCTGGTGGCACCTCTGTGATATTTAAGAAAGGGTTAAAAATGCTGTACAGCAGCTGGGAGAGAGGAGTGAGAAAAACGTGAGAGAAACAACCCTGCAGATACTGAGGTCAGTGAAGAAAGTGGGGCAGGAGGTGCTCCAGGCGCCGGAGCAGAGATTCCCCTGCAGCTCATGGTGAAGCCCACTCTGAGGCAGGCTGTCCCCCTGCAGCCCATGGAGGTCCATGGTGGAGCAGATCTCCATCTGCAGCCCAGGGAGGACCCCACACTGAAGCAGGTGCATATGCCCTGAAGGAATCTGCAGCCTGAGATGACTCCATGCAGGACCAGGCTCCTAGAGGGAACTGCAAGCCATGGAGAGGAGCCCATGCCGGGGCAGGTTTTCTGGCAGGACCTGTGACCACCTGGGGAACCCACACTGGAGCAGTCTGTTCCTGAAGGACTGTACCCCATGAGAAGGACCCATGCTGGAGCAGTTTTTTAAGGAAAACAGAGCTAGTTTTTCCCAAACTATATGTCACCATACAAATAAAAAATTTTCAAAATGCCAAAATCACTTCTTAATTACCCATTCAGAATCCATGAAGAATCCCAACTTCTCCACAGGGCATTTCTGAGCCAACTTGCCCTTCTTCCTATCCTGATTCTCATCTCTCTCTTCCATATTTTGTTCTCTAATAGAAAAGGGCATTTACACTGTCCATAGTCAAAAAACAGCAGCAAGAGGTAAGAGCCTTCCAAAAATGCCTTGTCTAGTCCTTTCCCATTCTTTATGCCTACACACACAAGGACTGAGACACAACCTACTCTAAATAACCATTATGATTTGAAGCCGCCCAAATCCCAATGCTAAATGTGAACTTGGTTACATAGTGCAGATTTCCAAATTGTACTATGAGTTAAGACATTAAGACATGATTAGAGATTAAATTTAATATGTGCATTGAAAAAGGCAATACTGTTAACTGAACATTGCTTACTTAAGTCTTGTAACTCTCCAATTTCTCAAGGTGTTGATGCAAATTCTGTACTTTGGTCAGCAAAGTGAGTATTTCAGTTTCAAGCCCCTACATTTGCTTGCTAATCACCACTTGCCTTGGTGCTTACCGTTTTATTATCAGTGAGGCATTCAAATAGTTATGAAGTATCTTATGGGAAGTCTCACAACTGAAGTATCTGCGTTATTGATCTGGCTTGGTTCCTGTTTTGCTCCCTGGGTCCTGGTCCCCAAAACATCTGAAGTTCACGTACACCTGCTTATCCTCAGATTCCTTTCAGAATTAAGCTAACTAATTCCCTTCGCAACAAAAATCAAGTGCTGTTAACAAGGTAATTTTCTCCGGACAGACACCACACACATGAACATGTGTGTCACCTGCAACTATTCACCAATACTATCCTGGGGGTCTTAAACTTTCACACCTCCACATGCTCTTATGTGTATGTATATAGGCACTCCAGTACGTAATTTAATACACTTCTGTAGCATGAAGTCAACTCCTTAAAGAAAAGGACATGACAACCCTTCCAAAATGTACATGTACACACATGCACAAAATTAACGTGCTGCAGAACATAGAAGACCCTAAAAATCAAAACCAAGCTTTAAAAAAGCATGGATGAAAGCCAGCAGCTCCAGACAAGAAAACCCAACAGTAGGATGGGAAGGTCTGATGTTGCTGAATCAATTTCAGAGGATGAGGAGGTTTTTTCCACAGCGGAATTCACCTTGACAGTACAAACCCTATGTAAACACCAAATCATTTTCTTCCTATTGCAAGGAAGATCTCTTTCATGTCACATCCAGCTTTTGAAAGTCTTCAAGTCCAAACATTCAAATAAATTTGTTCACAGTCTGTAGTATGAACTCATGTAAAACCTGAGTATAAATAAACTGATTCCTGTGTGTGAAACAGCAAGTGAGCTGCTCTTTTGAAGAAATCCAACAGACTGAAGATGCACAGCATAATCTTACCATTTCTGTAGCATGCTTTTGTATATCATGGAAGTCCAGAAACATGTCCACATCACATCCCAATTTGCCAAAGGTGTTGACTGAAGAGCCAAATGGCTTTACCATGCTGTCTGGAAAATATGCACGTGCAAAATCCCGAACCAGAGAACAGGCCAGAAATCGCAGCTTGGTATTTTCTTCTGTAAGTTGATACTCGTTTAGTAGAATGTACATCTGACTGCTTATCTAGTTAAGAAAATAAACATTGTAAAAATACAATGGCCCATCTTCTACCTATCAACATATATTTTCATCTACTTAACACTGCCATTAAAAAAATTTTTTTTAAATCTCAAATAGGTTTATTTCATACAGAAGAAGTTATTTTGACAATTGAAATTACTAATTTTGTCTGTTTCAATGTAGAACCATTCACACAAAATTCTAACGAGAGTTACTTTCTTTTTATTTTAATAGAAATAAATTGCTTTGTAAGTTGCACATGAGCACTTGCAAATCTGAAATAGACATGGTTCATTTTTAACTGAGAGAGATCTAGAAATCTGTACTTACACTGTCTGCATGACAAAGCTTTTGAATAAGCTCTTTCACTGGAATGTGACACTGAGGAGCGAGGTGAACTGGTGTCTCTTCAGCAGCTTGACTCACTGGGTTTTTCAGCATGAAAGTAAAAAGTCTAGATTTAAATGGGACAACATGCTCTGCAGCACTTGGGACTCCAACAGCACCCTGCAATGAGGCTATGCTGTCCTTTTCAGAAAATTCTATTAAAGCATGGATACCCTGAAACATTAAGAATGGAAATAGAAAGGATTAGATGAATTCATACAAGTCTTGAACTGATTGTACTGGTGTTATTCAGATGTTCCTGGGCGTACTGAGGACAGTTTAATGGGTCCTGAACCATTGGGTCCTGAAGCCAAAGTCTTGAACTGATTGTACTGGTGTTATTCAGACGTTCCTGGGCGTACTGAGGACAGTTTAATGCAATGGTCCTGAAGCCGAATGCTAGGTTCTGTACCTCAACACTTTTTACACACTTTTTCAAGAGGTCAAAAATATTTAAGATATGCTACTCTTGGCAGCAAGCACTAAACAAAATTTCTAATATCTAAGTATCTTCACAACTGTAATGCTCAAAAAACATAGTAAAAAGTTAGCTCTATTGTTAGAACAATGAACAGTGCTATGTAAGTTTCAAAGATTTAGTGCAAAACAGGCTGCTACCTATCCCTTACAGGAGATGTTGCTTAGCTGACTTATGAATAAAAATCTGTTGCTCAGCAACTTGTAAACATTAACAGACATAAAAACTAATTTAATATATTAATTGTATATATTTTAACTTACATGTATGAGGCCTCGAACAAGCGCTATTATTTCTTTTTGTCTAAGTCTAGATTTTTTACTTCATTAATTACTTACACGATTTTCAAAAAAGAAGTGACTGTTAATGTTTCCATGACTGGATAAATACTGCAATAATTTTTTTTCATTAAGTTTTGGTGGGCACTTAATTAAAACAGTCCGTTCTGCTTGCTCCAACCGTTCCGTTTGAACCTCAGTGAATGTCTTCTTTCTGATACTGACTTCAGTGTCTGTGAGAAGAAACAAGCATCAATGTTTTTCTATATTAAAAAAAAAAAAAGATTTAAAACTTATTTTAGCGTACTTAATCTCCTCCTCTGGGACTGAACAACTGAACAAGGGTTCGCCCTGGCTGTCTAAAAGGGTCACAGCAAAACAGAAAACAATCAAGAGTGAATGAAAAACACAAACATAAGTGTATTTCTCTCACAAATGCATATATTTGTGTCCTGGTTTTAGCTGGGATAGAGTTAATTTTCTTCATAGTAGCTGGTATAGTGTTGTGTTTTGGATTTAGTATGAGAATGTAATACATTCAGTACGAGATAACTCACTGATGGTTTAGTTGTTGCTGAGCAGGGCTTACACCAGTCAAGGACTTTTCGGCTTCCCCTGCTCTGCCAGGTGCACACAAAGCTGGGAGGGGGCACAGCCAGGACAGCTGACCCCAACTGACCGAAGGGGTATCCCATACCATATGATGTCATGCTCAGTACATAAACAGGGGGAGTTGGCCAAGGGGAGCAATTGCTGCTTGGGATGGGCTGGGTGTCAGCTGGCGGTTGGTTAAATCACTTTTTTTTCCTGGGTTTTACTGCTCTTTCTCCCCTGTTGTTTTCCTTTTCATTACAATTTATTATTATTATTATTGTTATTTTATCTTAGTTATTAAACTGTTCTTATCTCAACCCACGAGTTTTCTTACTTTTGCTCTTCTGATTCTCTCCCCCACCCCACCAGGGAGGGGAAGGGGGAAGCGAGCGGCTGTGTGGTGTTCAGCTCCCTGCTGGGTTAAACCACAACAATTTGTAAGAATAAGGAATAGGAAATGTAGGAAGAAAACAATACTAACTTCCCTTGATCCCACAGGAAGCTTGATGGTACAAGGAATCTTTGCTCTTCTTCGATTTGCTGTTCACCATCAAAAAACTCATCACATGCAGCCAGACTCTACATGCAAGTCTGGAAATAACAGCTAAGATATGAGGCAGAGCTCAACCTTTTGGCAAGCTGCACAGAAACGATAATCTCTCTCGGTTACCGCAAACCCAGCACTTTCACCTTCGGAACAGTTCAACACTCGCTTATTTTTACAACTCATCACCTTCTTTTACAGTAAACTCCTACTCAAAAATTTCATTTAATACCACACTTTCATCTACTCTACAATAAACCCACAGATCAGTCATATCTCACCACACTACTGGCAATCTACATAGCTGCTGACAGCCTACAGAATCAACACGGAAATGACACATACAGGAACATCCAGAAACAGAATTAACTGAAGTCCAGAACCGTTCCTTAATCCAGTTTTCTGCATATTTGTTAGTACATGGATATGAACAGCAAGAGACTGCTGGTTTTGTGACATTGTGGCAATACAGCCTGACCTTCTCCTCTCTTTAAAAAAGGTTGCTACCTAATTTTTTTTGAGCTCTGAAACATGAACATCAGTGGAAGCACAGGCCCGAGGCTCACCAGTGCATCACTCGCTACACCCAGGTCACAGCACACCAACAACGGACGGTCCTTGCCAGCTCTTGGCATGTACTAAAGACACAGCATCACCCAAACGCTTCCTGTGTCCTTTTAAGGGGACCCCCTTGAACAGGATAACCACTGTCACTTCACTCGCCTCTAGCTGGGATCTACACTTAATAAACCAAATCCCAGGCAGTCCGGGCGCCTGGACTGACTGCACCCCGGCGCGACGGCCGGAAAGCACAGGCCGACCCCGCTGCCCTCGGGGGCAGGGCCTC